TCATGTCCAGCTTATTATTCGCAATCTAATAACTGAAGACGCAGGCATATATTCTTGATCGAATTATGATGTCATGATCTTCTGAATTTTGTAAAATCTCACCCCAAAATGCATGAAATGGCGTTTCAAAGGCTCTGAATTCCAAAATTTTCACGGGGAGCATGATTCCGGACCCCCTACAACCTCGTACCCAGGGCTTCTGCGCTTATTGCTCTCAGAAGCCCTGGGATAATCCAACTCAGAACGTGATTTGATTGGTCAATGCGAATACAATGAAAGTACCGGAAGTTATTCATTAAGCGGGTGATATTTTGGCAACATGGCTGCTATCACAAGGAGTGTATACAAAAGTTAAATGCTGGTTTTTGCATGAAAATACTTTTTTAAGCCAAATTCTGGGCTATTTTGAAAAGAGAAAAAGAAGAAATGGACTATTTGTATTTGTAAATAAGCAAGAATGGCGAATAAAGTAAAAAATTTAACATAATAAAGCGAAACATTTCTCGTTCGAAAAATATTGAAATTTCAAGTATAAATCTACAACTTCAACCACGATATTCAATGTAAATATTACATAATAAAGTTTTTAGTACCTTTTTTACCTTTATTTGATAAATTGTGTGTTCTATATTATTGCATTTTGTATTGGAATAGGATAAATTATTAATTATACACAAATATTTAAATTTGCAAATTATTCCCAATTTGAGGATGCTGGGTGCACTTATGGGTGCATGCACTGCCTCAGAGTTTGTATTAGTCCCTATTTATTATTGAGTTATTAGTGCCTCTAAATCTCTAATGTACAAACATTGTAATCTGTTACTTAATACCATAAAGAAACTGTTGATAGCACATATATTAAATGACTATTAATCAAAATGAACTAAATTTTCGACCATTATATAGCATATTTCCCCCAATATTGAGGGAATAATTTCTCATATTTATTTTTATAATAAGCCAATATTGCCCAACTGTGAAGTAAATATTGCCCGACTGGCCTAGTCTGCCCAACAATTGAGCCCAGCCCTGTATGCCTATGACCAGGCCTACAGGTGGACCCCCAACCTGATTGGTCACAATTTTTCTTTCTCCCAAATTTCCCCTCCCCATGTACAAGGATTGACAATTTGACAGCTTGATTAGATTTGAAAAAAAAACCCTGTTATTTTGGGTCATTCCAGAAAATAACCCATACCACCCTCACAGAGGAAATTGAAAGTTAATCCCTCCTACCCCTTTGGATGTCCTAATACATTTACTATTATCAGAAACAATTTTTTCCCCCTACCCCTTCAGACGGCAGAAATTTCCCAACGGGAACAACCCAACACTGTATGTCAGAATACTGTTCTAAGTTGCAACTAAAATCCAGAGGTCTAAAAGGCTCAAGTCAATTCCACTGGTGTAACCAGAGGGGGGGGTCAAAATATTTTAAATGTTCCGGACTTGTTTGCAATTAAGTAGAGTTGAACATGTGTTAACTGAATGGTTATTTCAAATCACCAAAACACATTAAAATAGCCCTCCCCCCCAAATGGCAGTTTACCAACTAGAATTTAAAAAACTACATTGTACTATATTATACATGGATAGCTTGGGAGTCCAAATACATTTTTACATAATAACAAACTTATTCAAACTAGTGCAGGCCCCTCCTGGGGATTTCAGTCCTCCTTGATTAGAAATCCTGGCTACATCACTGCTCAATTCCATTGCCAGTGGTGTTAGCATAATTAGACAGAGTATGTTAACAAACTAGTGTGTATTATGAAATAATCCATTGAGCACCAGTGATCTATCCCGACATATAAAATCATCTGGTGTTAGACAGTCAGAGTAAAATAAAAAGTAGGATACAATGTATAACTTAATAGAATAATAGGCAAGGTTAATGGCCAGAACTAAATGATAAACAATATTTTATAATAAACCCAAAATAGTTCAGCACCATTGATTCCTATAACACTGTTCATTCCAATACTAGAATATCAATTGTCATTAATTAAAATGTATTTCAGTTGGCAATTAACAAAAGTTGGAGTTTCATCTGATGACATGTATGCTTCTAACCATGCTGTCCATGCAGCTATCTGACAGTTTTTAATTTTCAACATTCCCAAAGCCATTATTCTCAAGATTTGCCAAAAAGGTTTTCCAAATAAGTACAGAATTATATTACATCACTCATCACTGTTCATTTTACATTCTTCAAGTAGATGCATGTTTACAGTACAGTATATCTTTAATTAAATCTCATAATTAAATCTTGCAATATCTTGTTCAAAACCCTCAAATCCAAGATAATCGGCAGCCAGCCATGTTACCAGTAAGATTTCTAGTTCGTTGACTTTGAAATGACCAAGGTTGTACTCGAGTATATTTATACTTTAATTATTGAATAGCCTCTGTATATCGCTGACAAGGTATGCTTTTGTCGCGATACTGAAGATGTTCTTTTGCTCGCCAAAGGGCTTATTTTACGCATAATTGTATCTCTAAATTGATCATTCCTGACTTTAAATTCCAAAAGCCACGCGAGAAGCATTTTAAGACGTCTTTACAAGTCCAAATATATCATAAATTGCAACAAATAATCCATTCTCACTCCTTGCGTAAAAATATGCCCAGTCAGCGTTTTTAGCTGGAGCTACTGTTTACTTCCGCTTCCGGGGGCACCACTGTTCTATGGTGTTCCGGTTTGGATTATCCCAGGGCTTCTGAGAGCAATAAGCGCAGAAGCCCTGGGTACGAGGTTGGACCCCCTACAGTGTTCGCGCCTTTGGCGCTCAACTTGTCCCCCCCCCCCCACACACACACACTTTGTAAACCCTGGCAGCCTGGCTACGGCACGGACAACTTGGTCCAGCAAAGCGAGCTAGCCCGGTTTAACAGGCCAGCCCGACTCCTGACTCTTCCACAGTCCCTAACACTGCTTCTAACGCAAAGGACCATGGGAATGCCCCGAGGCGCGCGTTGGGTAATTCAACGCGCGTTAGGTAAGCGACTGGGGACGAGTCAGAGCCCGACTCATATTCATTTTCCACTAGGCGAAATTTTTCGACCGAATCGAAATTTTCTTTTGTCCGACAAGCACTCAGATGGAACTAAACAGAAATCTTTTGAATTAGAACAATAGAAATTTCGATTCGATCGAAAAATTTCGCCTGGTCGAAATTTATATCGAAATTTTTGGTCCCGCCTCTGGGTCCCGCCTCCCAAAAAAACGAAAACTATTGAAATAACGTATTGTTAGAATTTGAATGCCTCAGCATTCTTCCACTGAACCCACAGTTTTAAAATTCCCAAAAGCAGAAAATCATACGCCGTTTACAAAGATATTTTAAGTTCTTAATAAGTCAATATTTAATATATGCACCTTGTAAATATTTTACGCATCTTTGCGTTCAGTTTATTGCTAGGGCATTCAAATTTTAACAATACGTTATTTCCAGAGCGTTATTTCAATGGTTTTGCGTTTTTTTGGGACCCTGTATAATAACTGAGTCAGTTATGGGCGATACCGAGTACTTGGTATTCGATACCAGCGATACCACAAACAGCGGTATCGGTATCGATTACTGACGTGGTATCGTTCGATACTTGCACCCTTTTTTAAACGACATGTTTAATTTCACTTCTTGGTTGAATAAGACTTAATAAACCACTAAAATAACTCTTAATATTCCAAATGTGGTGTGCCAAGTCATGTATAGAAAATATTTATTACGTTTTGGGCTTTTGGTTTACTTATAGCTTTAGTTAGGTTACATACAGTAATGTAAAATGTTTTTCCGCTGACCGGCAGGTATCTAAAGTAGCCGATACTAGCAATTTAAGTACTCACTTCCGGTATCGAAAATTGAAATTTTGTTTTTATTTTGGTATCGAAATAGGTATCGGTATCGGCCGATACCGATCTTAAAAGTATCGGTATCGGTATCGAATTAAAAATCCTGGTATCGCCCATCACTATAACTGACTTCCGTGTTCTGAGCCCGTAGTTTTTGTAGTGATTTTTATGATAATCGTCCTGTACTTCATATAGATTTAAAAAAGTGATAATCCTATTGTTCAAACATTATCCATATTAACAACACAAATGCTGTGATACACACTCAGAAATAATATATTTTACTAATGTAACGGTGAAATCTGGCGTCGGAAAAGATTTTCACAGCTATGCCACCATGAAGAAGACCAGAAAGCCATCCTCGGGAAATGTTGGCTTTGAGAAATCAAGAAAGGTTTGTTCTTTTGCTAATTTGCTACATGGCAACGGATTAGAACATTTAATAATTTAATATCCATAGCAATTTCTAATCCAGGTAGCAGATTCGTGCAATTTATATTGAATAACTGCATGACGACATAAAATCCTCTCGATTATTACAATTTGAACTTTTTTGTTATGATTAATAGGTTTCCTACATATCCAAATGTGAATTAGAATACGAAACCTACTTAGAATTGCAATGAAGTGTTAAATTACTTGTATGTAAACAATTGCGTGCATACGATTTTTGCGAACAAAATTATTGCAGACTGGCTCTTCACAGGGGGTTAATTAAAGTAATTTATCATATTACGGGCAGCCCAAACGTTCAACACCCTTTTATTCCTAGATTAATTGTATTATTTTTAACATTTATTATAAAATTTTCATCTTATTTAAGCCACCTAGATTTGTAGTATTGATAGTAGTGAAAATTTTCTATAGTATGCCCATGGATGATTTTGCCAGCGATTTTGGACGCTGCAAGCATGCATTGTTTTGGCTGCATGTGGTCATTCAAATATCAGAGAGAAGTTAATTGGGGTCCCAGAAGGGGAGCAGATTCACAAGATTTCATGAGCTACAGTATGACTCTTCCAAGTGCCAGCTAATTAATCCTATTTATACACTGATACATGAGCATGGAGTTTGGATGCACCCTGTGCATATTTGGCAAGTCTGCTCCTGGTAGGGTGAGAAATATGCTGTAAGAATAACTAGTGTGCTCAAAGTGCTGAATATATTCCAAGTTTGCTTTCTGTTTTATTCAGCCATTTGAACAAACATCACACAAGTTTCTATAGTGTAGACTGCTATCACAGCTAGGTGGCTCCAGTCGGTTCTCAATACATAGCAATCTATTATTCCTTGCATGTCAACCTATATAGATTACAAATTTTAGAGTCTCTGAGTCTGTAATTTGTCTAATTTGTTATATTAACCATTAAATACTACAAGTATAGGCACAGCATTGGGGCATATTGCAATGCAAATAAGTTGGTTAATATATCTGATTGAACATGCAGATAGATTTTTATTCTGGCAATGTGCCATAGTGTTCTCCCCTTGATGAATAAAATTATGTTGCACTAGGACACAGCTGTGCAAGTTCAATGGATTAACTCAAAAGACCGATGGGCAGATAGTGTGATTAACTCATTGAGCACCAGTGCTCTAGTGCCCTTGACGAATAAAATCATTTGGCATTAGAATAAAATTGTAATAGCTGTACTGTACTACTTAGCACATTAGGGTGGAATGCAACTTAACCCACTCAATGGCATTGCTCCCTAATACACCCTACTTTAATTTATTGTTTTACTCGGTCTAATGCCATGCAGACAATTTTACTTGTCAAGGGGAGAGTGCATGCTGACCCTTAATATATGGGCTAACGGTTAATTGCAGGCTGGGTTCTGTTTGTCAGGCATGGCGGGTTTAGCCCATTATGTTTTGCCCAGATGGGCATTGATCAATAATACTGTAAGTAATTATTAGTTATAATATGCATGAAATATAAGCCAGATGAACTGAAAGCATGACTGACAAACAAGATTGTCAGATTATGGAAACCTAGCCTGCGAACAGGCTCTCTTTGAACTCTCAATTCAAAGAGCCTGTTCGCAGGCTAATGGAAACCTAGCTCACACTGCCAAATATTTTGTGTTGTAAGAATATTAGTTGTCAGCCAGGATCATTGCCCTGATTTTGCAGGATTTTTACAAGATCTTGATAGGGGCCAGTTCAGAATGGAATCCCTGTGTCTCAAATGCTAATATTATTCAGACATACAGAAATCTGATGAGTGTATTCAGAGACAGGGGAGGGTCATACTCAGCCCATCCAAAGATATTATTACAGTATATGGCTATTCTATATTTATTTAATCTGCTATGACTGGGTTGAAATTCAGGCCTTAAAATATCGGTCTGTCATGGACATTATCTGACCCATTCGTGAAATTGTCTGACGTAGAGAGGAAACCACCGGACATTCTGTCCGACCTAAGTGAAACTGAGGTTTATTGTTTGTCCGACCTGAATGTATTTGTGTCCGACCTGAATGTATTTGTGTCCGACCGAACTGACTAGCTTTGTCGAACGTAAATCAAAATGTAGCCCAGTCTCTGGACTAGAGGCTTGTATGTTAAATGGAAAATCAGAGTACTATTGTATAAAAGGTGAACTGGAAATGCTGTTTTAACGTAGACGAGCGCGGGGCGGCGAGCGAAATGGTGAAGTGGAAAACAGGCTTAAGTTGTCGAAGTCTTTTTTAATACTGCTGTTCTGGAAAGCAAGTTAATTTTGGCTTGGAAATAAATATGCAAGAAACTAATTATTTAATATCTTTACAATATTTACGTTCATAATCAATCAGTGCATTTGTGCTGGTATTCATTTGTGTCATTTAGACTTATTTCGGAGTCAAAACTGAACTGAAGGTCATCGGACATATGTCCGACCCAAACTCAACGTCATCGGACATTTTGTCAGACGCGGCCTTGCAAAAGATATTTTAAGGCCTGCAAAATTGTTGTGTGTTGTTGTCAAATCTTCCCCAGAATGCAGAAAATGCTCTACAGTCAGTAGATTTCAAATTTCAAAATGTCCAGGGGTGGTCACATGTATGCCGCCGGAGTTTAGACACACCTGCATGGGGTTAGTTTAGCTATACCCCCAAAACAAAAATCTAGTATATATACTGCCTTGTAATGGCTATCCCTGACTCTAGGTTTTGAATTTGGCTCAATAACTAATGTAGCCTAGTCTACCTTTGAAGCTAACAGCACCAGGCCCTGAGGCCCAGGCGAGAGTGAGCTCCGCACCCCCATACGGATTTGGGGTTGACGCGTAACTCTTAGAGCGCTTATTTCCACCATGAACTCGAAGATAGCCCATTAGGCCACAGAGGTAACACTGGTCCATTGCTTCTTAACTCGGTACATGCATGTAGCATTCTTTTAGTGACGACTCTCATAATGTTACAGGCGACATACAGCGTGTTCAACCGATTCAGCAACCACCTGCATCGCAAACAATCGCTTCTCTTACTAATCATTTCTTTTACTAATCAACATTAATATAATGAAAATTAAAAATACAGTTATTATACCAATGAGGGCAGGCCTAGCAAATTGCTCGATTTTTAGTAGAATCTGCCTGACCAAAATTTGACTGCAGGGGTCGTACAGGCGGAAGAAAATTAGGCAGACGGACAAAATATTTGCCCGCCGTTGATGGAAATTGCCGACATTTTCATTGGTTCATTGAAAAATGAATAGAAGGAACTGATCTCTTATAGAGTACAGATACAATTATTTATAGTAATTTTGGAAAACGTAAAAATTGCAATTTCCGTACTATATGGCAATTTCCATACTATACCCATACGAAAATGGGATTTTCCTACTATTTCCAACGAAGATCCATACTATTTCCGTAGTATACATTTTGAAAATAATACCGCACCCTGGGAGTTTGTCAACTCTACTGTCTTCTTAATTTCTGTTTTAGATTCCAGGACATTCCCGAGTCCGACCACTCACATCATTTGCACCAGAAAGGAATGCTGTTTCGTCAACCAGTGACAAAAGACAAATAACTGCAAGGCCAAAAACATCACAAGCTCTTCATCGGAAACAAACCACAGACACCGACGCACAGTAAGTTTTTACATGAACGGTTCGAACGATTCGTACGAATCTCGGATATCAAGCTGAGCTGTTTTATGGAGCTGCGATTAATTTGATCGATTTCAAGTCAGGGTGTATAGACCCATTGCACTGACGTCGCAAATCCTTAGAGTGTCCTCCAGATGCTCCCTGACAATATCTGTTCAGGTACACACAGGGCGAAAAAACAGATTTGCACTAGGCTTTGCAACCCGGTGCAAAGGTGCCATTGCCGTAATCGCATCAAATTGGCAAGGTTGCAAATATTTTGGCAAATTTAGAAACCAAATTATGGACGAAAATACCCACAAATTCACTTGTGCAAATAAAAGTTAATTTGAGCCAAATTTATCCTATACCCATTCCCTCTCAAAAAAGAGAATTGTATTTACCAATATGAGGCTAAAAATTTATTTACCAATTTGCTTTCCAAATTTGAACAAAATTTGCACAATAGCAAATTTGATGCGATTACGGCAATGGCACCTTTGCAGGGGGTTGCAAAGTTGGAGCAAATCTATTTTTTCGTCCTGTGACAACAACCACATATAGCGGAAAAATGAACCATTTTAATAAAAAATTATTATAAAGTTTTGCAAAATTTGCTTTGTTTACAAAAGTTATATTATGCATGGATTGCTAATTTGTCCTCCAGATGCATCGTCACCGGCGCTGTGACGTCATGTGCAATGGGTCCATATGGTTACTGGAGTAGGGAAACTCCACCCGTCTCATTTTGGAAGGGTTCAATCATCCCTATTTCGGGAAAAAATAGGACTGATCATGCTGTCGATATACTCTTATTTTGAAGACAATAGACTTTACCGTTTATTTACGTTTGAACCAATACCCTCGTTTTTGTGTCGGGTATTTACTCGTGTTTCGTTCACAGTAGGGTTAAGAACTTACTTGCTATTGGGCTTAACATCCACCAACGGGGAACCAAATCGTGAAGGAAACATGGGAATATAACCTTCATGTGCGTCTATCTTGCAAAAACTGGCAAACACTAAAACGAAGCATTTGGGTTAAAAATGAATAAACGCGATAAGGTGTATTTTGCCCATGGCGAATCATGCATCACTAGGGTGGTTGTTCGTTTAGAATAGATGGTCATGATGGCCAATTTCTGCGTTTTGACGTTGAAATCGTGCCAATTGGATAACAAAATATTGCAAATACAAACGTTTCTACTTCACTCAATCCCTCTTTCCCTTTCTTACATTTCTCCCGTTCCGTTTTCCTCATTTCCTCTTTTTAGGTTAGTTTTCTTTCTTCAAGCTCCTGTATACACGCCTGGTCCGAATTTGATATTCGACATTGCATGCTATTATCCCAAATAATTACTACACGTGTAGTTCTTTGAATTCATTCCTGTTCTGTGCCAATTGTTGTGCAGTCTGCAGACTGACCTAACTACAGCGGTACTCTTCCGTGTACATTTCTGTAATCTGAACTATTAAATAAGCACAAACTTATCTCATCATGGTAAATGTGGCAAAAGTTATAGCCTATGCAATATGAGTCCAGTTTGCCGGGGAGCTTACCTGAGTGCATGGATAAATGATTCTTGTGTGCCTATCTTGTTTTTTCCGATCTAATACCCCGTCTCGGTGGGACGACATTATGTGAACATGGCGTTTTCGAAATACTTTTTGTTGTAATTAAACAGACTGCACCTTGTATTATGATACATGCATAAAAAATAATTTTGGATTTTGTCATGGCCCCTATTGGCCCCTCAGCCTTGTTTTCGTGTTTAAGCTTATTTCCACATTTATTGGTCATTTATACATGTGTTGAAGAAGGATGTTCTGCTCCTCTGACCATAGCCCGTGAGAAACAAACTTAAAATCCATTCCATTTAAGGTGGTCCTAAGTTGAAAACGGTGTTAGTCGTGACGTAATTACTGGAAAGATCTATATTTTAATAGTATTGCCCGTAAGAACAACCCCCCCTGTCAGGGACCTTAGCCCCGTCATCGGGGAATTCTTGGCGGTTCCCCAGTTGTCACAGTAAAAACCTGGCTGAAGAGATTTAGTACAACTGCTACAGTGACTTTCCGGTACCAACTTCCACTGAACACCGCGTTACTGCCTACTGATTATGTTTTAAAGTAATATTCTGCTTGTTTGTAATAGGAAACATTTGCCAAACAAAACGCAGAATGAAAGTCAAACGTTGGAGAATATTGGTTCAGATGCCAGGCGGAAGACGAATGCTAACAGACCTTCATCGCACATTGCTAACCGTCATAATGCAGAAAGAGACCGAAGTATTTCATTTGGCAGTGATTCAGCAGGAATTCGAAAACACCGTGGTAGTAAATCCACAAAAGGTATAGATGCATCACGAAGTTTTTTTTCTTTTTGCATGTGTCAGGTATTTCGGGCTCAAGTTGACCTGTCAAGGCATAGAAGGGAATCAATTTACAATTACCACCATTGTCTTAAAGAAAAAATGCTATTGTGTATGAGCGTACGTCATCATTCATGTTGCCGTTGTATTTCCCAAACTCACTGTTTCAAACGGCAACAGGAAGGGATTCACTAGGAACAATCGCCACTTTATCATCTTTGCTTTGCTTGCCTTAGGTTACATTACTTCCACATTAATCCGTTTTCGAATCCCTTCCTTTTTTATACTTCGAAAACGCATACAAATATCTGGATCTACACTAGCATTTTCGGATCTTTTTTTACCATCCACACTAGCACTTAGAAAGCAAATCTTATTTTCGATCCTTATTTATTCATGTCATTTATTGATCATTTTATGGTCAGTTCCGTAAAATATCACAAGAACATCAGGAAACCTTTTACGGAGACAGAGGCAAATTTATCCAGGTTTGACCTAAAAGCTTCGCATATAATAGTGCTGCTAGTGGCTTACTGTAGCGGTCACGCATGATCGTGTTTATGACGTTCGAGTTTTTGAAATATCTTTGTTTTTGGCCGTCCACATTGACCCAATATACTGTACCTCCGTTTTCAAAAGTCTCCAATTTCAAAGCCGTTTTCGAAAAGCCTTGTTTTCATTGAAGAAGGTATCCGTTTTCCATCGTATTAGTGTGGACGATCGGTAGAAACGCATACAAAACGAAAACGGACTAATATGGACAGGACCTTAATATAGACCTTAAGCATAAGGATGTCACATGGCGCTATGCGCGCGAGGAATCCTGGTATTAGTGGTCATGACGGGAAAACGATCCAAGATGACCACTGTCGTACTCGTACGTGAATGTGCTGCTGTTTTTTGTTGTCTTGTAAAGTCTGTTGAAGCCAATGAAGACCCTAGCTAGTTCTTTTCAAAACTCTTGCACGAGTATTCAGAGGTTTGACAGTAACAACAACTCCACTTTCATCGACCAGTACGAGTAAAACAAGTGATGGTTTTACGTATTGTGTTCGTGGATGTTTAGGCTACAAACAATGAAGGAAATCCCGAGCTTTCCTTTTAGAATTTTCCAAATGAGAAAAAAGTGTGGAATAAATTTAATTGCCTGCAAAGATTTCTCTCCAACAACATACCATTGAGCATGTGTTCTTTGCATTTTTCAGGAGGACGTAAAACCTACATGAACCAGTTGCCATATTTGAATGTTCCAAAGCCTTACAACAACGAATTATCGACTAGCAGTAAAAGCACAGAATATAACTCTTGTATATATAGCAGGATATACTTTGGTATTTTTTTATTGTTCATGGTAAAACAACCAGCAACACGTTAAACCACCAGTTTTTTCTCGTACTATATTCGATGAAAGCAGACTGTTGCCGTTCCTTTCAGGGCTGTCAAACCTCTGAATACCCGTGCAAGAGTTCTGAAAAGAACTAGGATCTTCATTGGCTTGAACTGCCTTTAAAACACGACAAAGAACAGCAGCACAGTCACCTTGGGCAGAGGCCATGTTGGATTGTTTTCCCATCCTGTATACTAAGAGAAGAATTCTCCGCATGCATCACGCCTAACCTTGTGACGTTATTGCGCATAAGGTTGAGGATTACCACCGAATTAGCGTGCTTGCTTGAATATCATGCATGCCAAGCTCGTGCTAGAATGTAAGCCAAGCACGTCGCGGTCACATTCAGAAAAGTATTGCATGCTTGTTTGCTGTAGTTAACAGATGCATGACTATATCTAATAATCTAAATGTCCATTAATTAATTAAATTAAAACTATATTCTTGGGATATCCTAACAGTTTTGGGTATTACAGTATGTACAGTAGTGTATTTTGGCTAGATGGAGAATGCTTAGATATCAAAATGACATGTTCAAATTGACTATCTATTAGCTATAGTGTACCAGTTGACCGGCCCGCTTCCGTACTCCTTGTAACTATGTACCATACATCATCGTACATGCATGTACAAGTGGATTGTAAGCTATCGAAATATTCGTTCCTTTAATTTAATTTGTTTTATCTTTAGAGTTAAAAATCAATATCAGTCAAAGTAAATCCTCAATAAGGTCATCCGGTGCATTTGATCCATCAAATTTCAATCCAGTTCAACGAAAAGTAGCTTGGCAATCTGATTCAGATGTTGTAAGCACTCTATCAGAGAACCATGATGACGAATGTCTTAAAGACAGTTTTCAACCACCGATGCTTGGCACTGAAGATAGTGGAAGTGAATATGATACTGATCTTGAAACAGAACCTCCAGGTATGTAGAACAGAATTTAACAGTGGAGAAGTTAATTAGTATAGGAAATTACACGGTTCGAGAAGTATTAATAAAAAATCGTACGCGTGTTTGGCGAAATATTTATAATGCCGCGAGTGCGTAGCATGCACAAGCGGTACTATAAATAATTCGCCAAACGCAAGTGTGATTTTCCATTAATACTTCGAGAACGGTTTTTAACCAATCAGAATCGAATACATTGACTAAAATAATATTAAGGAAGTAGCTTTTGAAATGTAATAATAAACAATAATTATAACATATACTAGAATTTTCTGTACTTTTTCTGCGCATTTGACGTACTTACTGTAGCTTCTTCAATTTGGCGCTATCGTATACTGCCATAGGAAGCTGAACAGGTTTATACTTCCATGAAAACGTGCAGTAGATGCTGTACTACATTCATTTGGTAAACTTATTTAAATATTTCAAGCACAAGCTATGTAATATCAGTGAGCTCGACAATATTATATCTGGAGCGAGAACTCGAGTTTTAATTTCCGCCAAAAATGGCGGAAATTGAAGAGCTATAGGAAGTCAACCCAGTCCCTTTCCGAAGTTTCGTATTTCTACTGCTATTTAAAGACCACAAAACTTGATCTGTTCCGTTATGTTCCGTTAGAAAAAGCTGGAATTACCTGGGAAAATGGTACAGTAAAAAATCTGTTCGGCTAAAAAACGAAAAAACCTGTTTAGATAGGAAGTAAAAAACGTAATAGCTATTAGATGTCAATTCCGCCATCTTGACTTGTGTGATTTTAACGGAAAAAATCGAGGAAAAAGTTTATGCAAATCAGGATAATTAACAATTAGACAACGAGGCCGAGTTGTCTATGAGCGAATAGTCAACGAGGCGAAGCCGAGTTGACTATTTGCTCATAGACAACGAGGCCGAGTTGTCTAATTATTTTAGTATAAACTTTAACATTAATTTACAACTAGGCTGCAAACACAATACAAAAATACACAAAAAAACACATTATAAAACCATTAAAGGTAAACAAATATTTTATATCGTAGCCAATCAGAAGGCACGAAATGTGATAGCCTACGAGTAGGTTTATACTAATAATAATTAATAAAGAAAATTCAAAAGAAATCAATGTCTAACGAGGTGTTCTTTCCATGTACTATACAAAATTAGTATAAACCTACTAGAAGGCTATCACATTTCGTGCCTTCTGATTGGCTACGCTACTAGTAGGCTATTAGTGATAGCCTACTAATAGAAAATTCAAAATGGCGGAAAATTCGCGTTTTGCACTTTTGCCGAAGTGTCTGATGATTTTTTGGACGCTTGTTGAACAATTCTGTACTAAACCCCCCGAAAAAAGCAACAAAAATATGGAATGGCAATTTTTAAGGGTAAGAAAATAGACAAAATAACATACACTCAATGAAATTTTAAAATTAAAACTGAATTTTGTAAAACATTTTACGCGAACAAAAACTAAAATATTTGTTTACCTTTAATGGTTTTATAATGTTTTTGTGTATTTTTGTATTGTGTTTGCAGCCTAGTTGTAAATTAATGTTAAAGTTTATACTAAAACAATTAGACAACTCGGCCTCGTTGTCTATGAGCAAATAGTCAACTCGGCTTCGCCTCGTTGACTATTCGCTCATAGACAACTCGGCCTCGTTGTCTAATTGTTAATTAATGAGTTTTACAAATAGTTGCCATGGTTCCAAAGGTTTATTTTCGTTGTATATATACTGTTAGAAAATGCGAGCTGTATAAATAAACTTCAGGTTGAAAGCGGCAATATAGCCTCGCTATCGTACAACGACATCCAATTAACAACCAACCAATTAAAACACTTGACTTTTGAAAAGGTTTGAACTGGACCAATCCGAGAACATTTTTGTTATCATCCAATAAGGAGACAGAATCAGAATCGCACCCCAAACTTAAAACCATTTGACGAGGTGCAGTCAATCAATTGCCGCTTTCAAACAGAGTTTCCCTTCGCATTTTCTAGTGTTATATTCAATGAAAATCCTCTGGCTCACAAATAATAAATAAAATATTTCTCTCTTTTTCAGCTGCTCCAAAACAGTATGACTCATCAGGAAAATACACGTATCTTAAAGTATGCAAGCAGGAAGGTATCGTAAATGTACTGACTTTTAGAAATCTTTTTAGAAATTTTATTTAAATCCAAAAAAGGAAAGGTTTTATTATAATTGTAAGATCGAATGTATTTCCATCCGGCAACTCCAAAACATACAACGGTATTTCGATTACATGATGCTTTTCTTGGGAGTATATACGTTTTATTTTATTATTGTAGTCAAGTGAGGCCATTTGAGTTTCGAAGTCGATTCAGATCGCGCTTGAAATCTCATGGAATCCGATTTTCTAGGTTTTGAAATCGCATCTCATACTCATAACTCTTTTCTCAGTAGAAAATTAATGAAGAACCAGCCCTGACACTGAACTGTAGTTTTGATCCAGTCCTAAGACTTGATCAATAAATATAATTTAGTCAGTGTTGGGCATTATCGTGCATGTCAGCGAACTAAAGCAATATGGTTGGCTAATATAATTGGCCGGAATTAAGGTTTTTAATTTTTTTTCTCTATGAAGATTCTCACTATACTGTATCGAAATTAAGATGTGGTGTTGAGCAGCCATCTGTACTGAATTTATTGGGATGCATGGGAAACAGTCAAAACACAAAGAATGAAAGCTACAGCGAGAAGGATTTAAGAATACTTGATATTAGCAAAAATTCAGTTTTGAAAAATGGCCTTTGAGCAGGGCTAGAAGTAGAGAAAAAATATGGCCTGCCAGTTTAAATTTTTTGGCAGGTGAAATAAATTTTAGCCTGACATTTTTATTCATGTACTGCCAAAATGGCGATGTCTCATATAGGAGTCATATAATTGTAAAAATCAATGTTTTCATGATATGCATTGAAAAATGGCCTTTGGATATTCTGATTGGTTCCCTCAGCAGTACCTCTGAGCCAATAGTTACTGCTCTGAGCAGTAACTATTGCTCTTCCCAAAAAAATGGCTGAACGTCAGACGGATTCTAAATTATTTATGCAAATTATATTCATAAAATAAATACGTGAATTCATTGTAATTATAATTAAAACTTTTCCAACACTGAAATTTTACTAAAACAATTAGTCGCCTCAGTTTTGACTAGAGTAGTTGTTAAATATGGGGCGAAATTCTCTTGAAGAACTAGCTATTTACTTTGAAAAGGAAATATTAAACCACAATCTTCGTGACAGCTCAACTCAAGCACTATACTTTTTCCAAAAAACCACGTTCGAATAGTTTGAAAAAGAGTTTTAAAACACGCGTATGAGTGTTTTATCATATTTAAAATGCGAGTGCGCAGCACGAGCATTTTAGATGTGATAAAACACGACTATACAAGTGTTTTGAATAGCTTCAAACACGACTACAATAGATGTCGTCTCATTAGTATTTCTTTATATAAAGAATACTAATTAGGATGGACTTTTATATAAAGAATTCTAATGAAGATGATCAGTTTTAACAGGTATAAAGCCTCTTCACGTGACATATTATGGTTGACAAGATTTGCCAATAAGCTTATGAATTATTAATGAGTGCTTGAAATATATAGAATTTTATATTTGCATGCTCATTCCTTACTATTTTTAAACTTGTAATAATTTGTTGTATTACAAGCCCATTGTGGAAATGGACATTAGCTGACAATGTTAACGTGGTTAAATAAAGTTTATCATCATCATCATTATCATCACCCAACAAGAATACACGTCTTTCAAATATTCTGATTCAACATACAATATATAATGAACTAAACAAAGTACGTAGTAGAGTAAAGTACATTGCAGACATAAATGTTGTTTTCTCAGAATATGGTATAAATAAATGAGCTGACTGCAGGAAGTATAGAATCAATTAAGGTGGCAACACGAATATTCTAACTTGTCCTAATTGGATAAAATAATAGGGTTTTTTTTCAAATTACAGTTATTGTAGTTACTTTCGATCAAGTTCATCATTTGAAGGTTGTATCTTAGAAATACAGTTCATCTGCCTCACAACATAATTTTTTGCTCATATTCGTAAGACTCTTTATCTAGGATTTCGTCCACAAACCATCAATTTGAGGTCATTTTCATTTTTCTGCCTAAGTTTCATTTTTCTGCCTAAGCGTCATGCTCATTTTGCACATAAGGAGCACACATGCACTCTGTCTTTAAGAGTAGAGAGGTGGGAATTCTCTTTAAACATCCCTTTTTAAAAGCCTGAAATACTTTTGACATAATTTCTATACTTCGGACGAGTTGAAATATAGGTAGGTGTCGCCATCTTAAGTGAATCTAGAAGGCAAGTACTGTAGTTGGTTGTTTTGATAATTCAAATGTCAATGATTAAACGATAGGATAATCATTTTATGTAGTATAAAAATCTGAAACTTCTGATCTATCAAAGCTAACTTTGCAACACCACAAAACATAGACGGGGACTTTTAACACTCTTGCCTTTCAAGTCGTGTTCAATCTTTGGTCCGACCTCTAACTGGAAAAAATTTTGAAAATCGATAGAATGGAAATTGTATGGACCTTTGTTGGAAATAGAATGGATTTTTGATTATCCATAATAATTATATATTTCCATACTCTGGATATAGTATCGAAATAGTATGGATATACTACGCATTTAGTATCGAAATAGTATGGATATATGTACCATTTAGTGGTGCAATTGCAAATCTCAGAGTATGGACTTCACACTTTTTTCCCAGTGTCTACTGGAGAAAAGCTACTTTTACATTGACATCAGTAAATGGTCAGACCTTTGCGTCCTCACGGAGAAGGACGTTAAATGGTAGGTACAGTACCTCGGATCTCCAATCAGTTTGGCAATAGCTTGTTGGGAAGTCCGCTCACCAATGAGTGAGAAAGCCAATAAACCCAATAAAGTCAATAAACTCAAAAACTTCTATAATCCTTTAATTTAGGCGACAAATGTTTGATATACGTATGTTAGCAACAAAATATGTATGTTTACTTTGTATCTTTTTCAGATGTCCTTCCAGTGTCCTCATTACAACCGAAATTCGAGGAGAAGGAAATGGCGATCAAGCACAGAAGTCTTGGTTCGAAGGGAGCATTACCTCTCGCTAAATCATTATTGGTAGGCTATAACTTGATTTCGCTTACTTGATTCTACGTTAATTTATTTGAAAACATGTATAGGTAATAAGTGCGGTATTAATTCAACGGCTACGACTGCATGGGGGTCATCAATAATTATCAACATCTACACAAGCGTACAAACCTTACGCTGGGGGGAGGAGAGAGTTAATGACCAATGGATTTTGTCAAAATGTCGATGATGGACGTTATCATCACCATTCCCTTTGTTCAGTATTTAAGAGTACGCTATAGGAGGGATGATAGAGGGGTGATACTGAAGAGCGCTGTGCGATTGTGAAGCATGATGCAATTATGGGCAACCCCTTACTTTTTCTATTAGTGATTAACCTGATTAAATATATTAAAGTAAAAAGACAATTTGGGTACACTATCTGAGGGTGGTATTTAATTATTGTTCTAATGTAATGTAATGTAATGTAATGTAATGTAATGTAATGTAATGTAATGTAATAGAATAGTCTTTAATTGTATAAGCCATATCATGGGATTACCTTATTTGTGTACTTGAATGGCAAGATTTCCCTTTTGTATTTGCTAAATTACGGCATGCCTTACTGCACGCTTGTTTTTCTAATTGTCGTCTTTATGTGCAGTTTCATTCATAATTTTCATTGCATTCAGTTCAACATTTTTCATAACAAATCCCTGTAAAATCCATGCTCTTTTCATTCAGCGAATATTTACAATCCCTCGGACGTTTGAAATGATTGTTTAGAGCCATATATGCAAAATATTTTAAAATTCACTATTATCTTACATGTAAATCAAATCTGCTTTTTCTGAATTTTCAATTCTGTTTTTAGAAAAATGTTTATGTTGAAAAATTGGACTTATCTGACAATGGTATTGAAGCAATCGGTACTTCATTTATCGCATCTATGCTTGTTGATAACTGTTATATTACACAATTGGTAAGGAGCAAACATACTATGTTATTATATCTTCTGTTAATTGGTTTATTGCACATACATGGAAATTTAGTTTCCACTGTAAATTTTGTACATTTTTAGACCTAAACGAAAATGCAAATACTGTATAAGTTTGCTTTGTAGGGCTCGAACCTGCCGCCCTGCGAGTGCGGTACAGCCCTCTAATCAACTGAACTACGGAGTTTATATTGTCGAGCTCTAACCTCATGCAAGTTCATGTGTCCATTTTTACTCAGAACATTCCAGGAGGTGTTCGCTCACAATATTTTAAACTGGGGATCGATATTCATATTCACCTGAGTACATAACACCAACACACACACAAAATAATCATATACGGTCATGGAATGGAAATTGTATATATGGACCTTTATTGGAAATAGAATGGATTTTGATGATCCATAATAATTTAATATTGTATACTTCAATACTATGGATATAGTATTGAAATAGTATGATATACTATATGGATTTAGTGGTTTAATTGCAAGTTTCATAGTATGGATTTCACATTTTTTTCCCAGTGTTGGTGGTTATCGTAGAAGCTTATTGCGCATAGCATGCGTAAAGCATAATTTGGTGCGTTAGGAGTGGTCGCATTTCGGTGGGTCATCTTGTATGAAGGTTGCATTGAGATAACACTATAGCTATCCACTGGATAGTGACTTTTTAAAGTTTTGTAAAATTGGCGGTTTCTTTATACTGTTCAAGGTCCAGTTGTATAAAACGCATGATTCTGATTGGTTAACTTTCTCACTAGTTATAGGTAATTTTAATTAGCATATACTCCGGAGGTGGAATAGTGTTTTTCGGTTGCTCAGCTCGGGATATCCTTGCACTCTTCACCTCTGGACGAAAACAAAATGGCTTCCCGTTTCGCTTCGGTTATAGAGACGAGCAAATGTTATTACTAATCGAAGCAGCTATATATTCTTTAAAGCTCCATCTACAGTATATAATGAATAAAATTTTAAAAAGCTTATAAATGCTGGTTTGTTTACAACTATCACTGGAAAAAAAATTGAAAATCCATAGAAGGTCATAGAATGGAAATTGTATGGATTTTTATTGGAAATAGAATGGATGTTGGTTATCCATAAAAATTGTATATTTCCATACTATGCATGATATAGTATCGACATAGTATGGATATACTACGGAAATATTTAGAGATGCAATTGCAAATTTCATAGTGTGGATTTCACATTTTTCCCCAGTGTATTATTCGGGAGCTGTAGTACGAATTGTTTTAAAATCATTTTTGTTATTTTTTTCGTCATTTCTGTTTTAATTTGTTATGGTATATGCTAAAACAATTGTTCATCTCCCTGTGGTATCCTTGCACGTTTCACCTCCATTTCAGTGACCTTTTTATACAACCGGCTGCAGAACTATAAATTAAACTATTTTTTATATTAATTGTTGGCCCATACAATATTTTCACAACTTTAAACTTCTGGGGAATAAAAATGTTGTTAAACTTAAATTTGTTAGGGCGAAATTGAGTATTTAAAGGCTTTCTTTTAATCTTTCATTGAATGAAATAAAATCTAAACTTTTTTGACGCTGCATTGCAGGATCTGTCTGAAAATGCGATTGGTGCAGATGGTGGCATACTCCTGGCTGAAATGCTGACGAGAAACCAAATTCTCCGCAAGTTAACGCTACGTTGTAAGTGTTTTTCTCCTTGACTCCACCAAGATAGTATAGACAGTGTCAAAGTTGAAGGAAACTTGCTGAAATTCCCGTAGATAGATTATTTATATAATTACTTTCGCCTGCATGCCGGACATTGTCTTGGAGTTAATTATAATATACAGATCTGCGGTATATATGTCCAAGATGGGATTGATACATTTAAAATATATGTCTAGACCTAGAAAAAGTGTCTAATGGTCCTCAGATCCTGATTTTGTCTTTTTCAAATGTTCCTCACAAGTGCATGAAAACAATGGAAAATTTGACCGTACATTATGCCATTATGTATACAACAACAACAAAGTATACTTGATTGTATGTATGTATGTTACATTTCTCAGATGACAGATAATTAGGAAATATGGTATCATGGCTATAAGTGTGAATTCAGGATCCCGAGAACCCACTTTCTTCCAGGTCTGATTGTCTTCATTCTCTACTTCACAGATTTGCCTCACTGTTGGCTGTTTATGTAATATTTCAAATCTAACTATGAGGACTGGACTAGATTTCAAACCCTCGCAATTTGATAAAGTCTGAGGCGAAGCCGCGAGGTCTGTGTCAAAATGTGAGGACTTGAAACCTATAACCCAGTCCGAATCGGAGGATTTGAAGTGACATCTCATACGAATAAATCAGTCCAAGGACTGAATTAATTTTAATATACTTCACCAGGTATCCTGTATTATCATGTGAGCAAAATAAAGCAATATAGTTGGCTAACTTACTCATCCATTGTTAATGAGTTTGAGATATCGCTTTATAGTACAGTATGTACTTATCGTAATGTTGTTATAATGCTTTGGTATGCAACAGTTTGGAACGAGCTAGATATATAATGGATATATTTTTTGTGACATTGGGCTGGCATGCACATGGCTCCATTCAAGACTCATGATTGACCAATTGCTTGTTAATGTGTAATACTGTAACCTGATTTTTTAGAAGTTGCTGTTTGATTGAATGATTTCATTGTAGACGCTCGAGACATGGTGTGAAAACTCGGCAAATTTCAAACTGTCGTCTATAATAAGCTGCGTTCTCGAGTGAGACCGTGCCCGAGTTTTTCGAAATTTTGCTTATTTCTAGTTCAACAATACGGCTGAGTGATTCAATTAGCCTTTCTCACGCCGCCATTTTTGAGTAGTATTTCAGCCGAAGTCTGCGAGATAAGTCCACATAACAGCGACTTTTTATAATTTTTTGGACGAATGATGGTAAATTTGCTTTGTAAATGGTTAGTTTATTTTGAAAAATCGCTTTTCACATTGTTTGAATTGTCTGCATTGGATAATGAAAATTTGATGCCACCCAAAAATGGCGGATATTCGTCATCGTGAGAAAGGCAACAGCTGGGCATTTTGTACGGAGAATGCGCGAAAAAATCAATATGGCGACATATATTAGGAGTGCTTGGTGGATTTATCTGGTTTTAAAGCTGATAAAACAACATTTCAATGAACAAAAACTTTGTAATATTTAGTGGAAAACATTAAGCTATGCAATCCAAACGTTTTAAATTAAAAATAAGTACTTTTGCTTTATTTTATTGCTTTTTATGCTTTCAAAATAGGCAAGCTCATTTTTTTTGAAAGAATCTAAACTAATATTTTACTCATCATTTGTTTAATCTGAACAGAAATTGATAGAACACTTGGCTACATAAGTTATAAAGGGAAATGGTAGCTGATCTGAAAGATTTCAGTATTCCTGGTACACATTTTAGCAAAGAATGACTGTAATTTTAAAAATTAAATATGCATATCAAAAACAATAGTTTTTATTAGAACAACACATAATAAGTTGTTATTTTCTATTTTTACAAAAACAAGTTTGGAAACAGAATCTAGTCCTCCAGTTTGATGTCATATTCCATTTATTTGGATATTTGAATAAAGGAATGTGAAATAATAATTGAAACTTGTCCAAAATTTGATACCAACACTCAAGTGAACAGATACTATCACCTAAAAATAAAAGAAAACAGAACTTAGATTTGTCATATAATGCTATGAAAAAATCTTAGATACTACAGGCATATAGTTAGCACAATTCTTTAACAAACTCATTAAAATAAGTTAAGTTATGCTATGTATGATAAGAGGATGGCAATATATGACAACATCAAATGTTACCATCTTCAGTGTCCAAAAAAAGTGCCGCGCGCATTTTTCCCAGCATACCCACTAACTTTTCCATGAAGGATGATTAATAAGGATAGTTTTAAGCCATATTTCGGAGAGAGGCAATGGGCAAAATTTTAAGATATTGTTATTTATATGCCATATCACCACATAATTTCACAAAGCAAGCATGCCTATATTCAGGATTGCCGTTAGACTCTTAAAACTGAACAAATCAATACGGCACTTCTTATTTCATAACAACCAATACTTGAACATTTTCAAAAGCATTTTTGCAGCAATTTTTACTGTATAACAAACCAATACAGGAGCAATATCATAAGCATGTGACAACATGACATTTTCACTTCACAAGTGGATTTGTCAATTACAACATCTAGCACATTTTTCCCATGAATAGCTCAGGTTTTAATAAAACAAAGTATGATTTAACTTTCATAAAATATATTTTCTAACGAAAGGCATCCGATCTCAGTTTCTACGAAATTGCAAGAGGAATATGTGTCATTTTCATCAAAATATGTATTTTAAGACACTTATTATTCCAGATGAGGAAGGACAAACAAATTATTGAACATACCTGTGGAAACAACAACAACTCAGCTTCTATCAAGAGTAAAATATGAACAGTTCCTTGTTTCCATACTGCTGTACCCTGCTTCTGAAACTCTGACAATGAGTGAAACATTTCCACTTGTCGCCCATTTGTAAATAAAAATTCTTCATGCGATTAAGTCGTTATATCGTTGCGTACAAGCACTACAACTTAATCTTTCAAGAAACACTTCATTTTCCATGAACAAACCAGTAAAAGAGGACAAAAAATCCTCTCACAATGCATATTTTCAGCGTTCGAAGAATCAAAATGTTTGTTAAAGAAATGCGCCCGCAATATTTAGACAGCGACAACAGAATGCCCAGCTATTTAGATAGGCTATTTAGCCATTCCGAAGTTGATGAGTGGACTGGGGACGAGCGTTAAAATGTGCCCAAATTAAGAAATGAACCAAATCACTAAAAAGATCACCTCAAAATTAGTAAGTGTACAAAGGTTGAAGACGTTTACGTGAATACCCTTCGAATAATAAGCTTTCGAAAATCGCGATATTTACTATGAAATTAATATACAGTAATTTTTGGTTTTGGGGACGCGCGTCCCAAAAACAGTACTAGTCTTTTAATCAGTAATTTCACAATTTTCGAAAGCTTATTATTCGAAGGGTATTCATGTAAACGTCTTCAAACTTTGTACACTTACTAATTTTGAGGTGGTCTTTTTAGTGATTTGGTTCATTTCTTAATTTGGGCACTTTTTAACACTCGTCCCCAGTCCACTCAACAACTTCGGAATGGCTAATGAGGTGATGCTATCAGTGGATGATTGCTTTACTATGCCAAAGTTCTTCACCGCACTATGATTCCATTTCCCGAACCGAGCGCTTCCTTGGAACAATGTGCCTCCTCTTTAAACTATCTATTTCCAGATCATGAATTGTAATACCTCAACTATGCAATGTTATTATTTGTAACATAAATATTGTATTCTTGCATTTCTTTCAGCGAATCATTTAACAGATCGTGTTGCCAAGCGTTTTGCTGAATCTCTTCGTGAAAACAGAACATTAAGGCATTTAGATCTGAGTCACAACGAGATTGGCGAACAAGGAGCAGTGTTTCTTGGAGCTGGACTGGTAATTGTTAAATAATTATTTCACGATCGCTGATCTCAAAATATACTGGATGGCGCAGTTTGTTTGCCGGTCAGATCATGAAGCCAGTTAATTATACCGGGCGGGTTATGTAAAACTTTGCCGCCTAGTTGTTTGCCTAACTGTCAATGCGAGTGTGACTCTCTTTCCCCATGAAGACTACAAGTATAATCATGACATGTTTGTTTTGAACGCTGCAAGTAGTACAGTTATATGAAATGGCAACAGGGCCGTCGCGATCGGGGGGGGGAGGTGCTTCACCCCACCCCCCACCCCCCCAATAATTTTCGCAAGTCGCAATCGTGAAATCGGCATTCAGCAAATTGTAAAAGTTGAGAACGAAGGCGTTAGATAAAGCGATAAATTTTGGATTTAAAATAATGGTTTGTGTGGCCTTATGCCAAAACAATCTAAATGTATTTCTAGTAATAGTATTAGTCTTTTATTTGTCGAAAATCGACGGGAGGCTGAAATGTGAAACTAAAACTGTCTGTACCAGTGTGGGTAGTACCAAAGTGAAAATGTTGTGCTGAGTGGTTATAACCCATGTTTTCAGGCTAACACATCAACAGTTCCTAATCCTCGGGCATGTTCTTCGAAAAGACTAAAACTTCAGTGTCTTGAATGTAATTCGATTTTTGACGACGATTACCGTAAGAGGCACGACCAAACTTGCCATAAGGGAAAGCGAGTGCGAGTAGTACACAAAGACGTACCGGCTAATCCGTTTGAGGCTGCAAAGCGCGGTCAAAGCCAAATAGAGTATTTTGAGGCGCAGGATCCTCAAAAAGACTTCACAGGCACAAGAGAAGAAGACCAAGAGAAAGACGAACCATGCCGTAAGAACGGACTTGTCTTCTTTAGTTCTTTAGCGAAATTACTGTTAACTCTGATCAGCCTACAGTTTGGAAAGACATACCGCATGCAGTGATCGGTATCATCGGTTGCATATCCGTTTTACTCGCTTAAAATTTAAACGCTTGGAAAATCGGCTCAAAATACCAGCTCAAAATACCAAAAACAGCTCAAAATACCAAAAAATTATAAATTGTCTATTTGTCGCCTGGGGATAAAAAAGGTCAAATTCATCAAATTGTCATGAAAATATTGAAACAAAATATCAATGCAATCACATGCAGATACTCGGATAACTTTGCTGACTTTGCGGAGCTGCGCGTCTGCACCACAGTCTAAGACACTCGTTACTCAAACTATGCACACACGGTAACGTTTCTGAGCGTTTTTGGTTGTAATGCGTTTCTGAAACTGAAAGTACCATTTTCACGTTCTGTTTACACGAAGACGTATGAAAACGACGTCAAGAAGCAAAAACGTTTCAAATAGTGGAAACGATGCCAAAGATTCATTTTCTACGTCTGAAACGTTTGGTCGTTTTGGCACTTTGTTATCGTCTGAACAAGAAAGTGGAAGGCGAAAATGAAATGCCATATTTGAATTTGAATTTGAAAACGAAGACTAATGTTGCGACAAAAATGATCAATGTGAACAAGGCGCCTAAGCGCTAAATTTGAAAACCCCACTGCAAAAACGCTCAAAAACGATACCGTGTGCACATAGACATACGCCCGTATTCTAAAAGCTCACTCACACTCATTGAGTGGAGGTTCAATCTGAGCCTCTCTTGAATGTCAATGCTGTTTTTGAATAGCTGGAGGGTGAGTTGTCACCGAGTAAGGTATGACACTAGCCCTCCAGCTATTCAAAAACAGCTTTAATTAACACTCAAGAGAATCTCAGATTGAACCTCCACTCATTGAGTGTGAGTGAGCTTTTAGAATACGGGCGATAGTCGCAGTCTCGATTCAGGACTTATTTAAAACCGCTATGTTAATTTTTTCAGCTTTATATGTTTAATATAAATAAATTAAAATAATACTTCTATATTTGAAAACAAGCGCACGAAAATAAATAGTTTTGTTATCGCGGGTTCATGTTGAGCTGTGGTTGCAGTTATTGTGTTCTTCGATTTCGTGAATCGTGACCTTATATATGTTTGTTCTTATAGAATGTGATATTTTATATATAAAGAAACCTGATTGCTTTGTAGCAACAACCCACGAACAGGCATCCATTTCAAACAAGAGCCATATTGGTGTCCCTTATTACTAGGACATCATTATGGTTCTCATGTTTTTTAAGTTTAGATATAGGTAATGAGAACTATATTGGTGTCCTAGTAATAAATTTATGCCACAATAGTCCCTAAATGTTAGATAAAAAATGTAGTGTGAAATATGATAGTGTGATGGCCTGGTGTTGTTTGCACAATGTATGCTTGTGAAAAAATGTTGTATTTGATAAAACTGAGATAAAAAAGATAAAAAACTCACTTGTATATGTATAAATGTGAACCTATAAGAAATATAAGTGTAGGTGTAGACTTGTGGAACATACAATTGGAGATGCGTGTGTGAAATTGTAACGGAAAATATCCTGTGGTGTAAAAATTTTGATCAGACCCAAAGAGTATGATCGCGCTGTACTAAAAAGCTTGTATGGAGGCATGTAAAATATATAAAGCGAGAGAAGGAGATAGTCGTGTGTGTAAAATTCAGTATCCCTGTACGCGGCGTTTCGTCCTTCATGGACTCGTCAGCAGGGATTGGGGTTGGCACATGTATAAGAAGGATAGAATACAGAAACAGATTTGGATTACAGAGTGAATAAACATAAAATAGCAAAATATGTGTATGGTTATTGTGAAATAAATGTAAAGTATAAAGTGTCTTACCAAATCCGCTGTTATTTTTTGTCAAACCAACACGTTGGGCCATTGTATGCAGCTGTAATTTCAGTTTTATGTGTGATGGTGCCATATAAGGAGTAGGATCAGGGATGGATTTACTATTTTTCATGATAAAGCAAAAACAAATAATAGAGACAAAAATGAGATACAGTAATTTGAGTAATAACTTGATGATAAGCGAACTGTGAACAACAATTACAATTCAAGTACAGTGGTCAAGCAAGACTTTTTAGTAGTCAAGCAAAGTGCTATTTTTCATGATAAAGCAAAAACAAATAATAGAGACAAAAATGAGATACAGTAATTTGAGTAATAACTTGATGATAAGCGAACTGTGAACAACAATTACAATTCAAGTACAGTGGTCAAGCAAGACTTTTTAGTAGTCAAGCAAGTTGATGGGCGGGTGGCACACATGATCGACACAACTCGGCACCAGAGCTAGTAGAGCACCCCCCGACTACCAGATGATCATGCTGGATCCATCCCTGAGTGTAGGATAGACTGACCTGAGTTGCTACCATTGTTGTGAGTGAACTCGCGAATGCCGTTGGCAAGATTACTCATGATTATTTATATAGAGTTTCTCACTAGTAAGTAAACGGGGTGGCGACGGCAAAATCGAAGCCTTCAAGCCTGCTCCCATCCGTGGTCTGTAGTCTATAATCGGATATCGTAAAGTGAATGTGCATGCTCCAAGGCAGTGAAGGCTCAGCACTGTAGTACTATATCTGGTTCATTCGTTATTAGATGGGCGTTAACACATTAGCCATATTCCTTTAAATACTTGGCTAACTGTATCACTGCGTCTGATGCATAAAACGAAATGCTCACTTCGCAGATGTATTTGTTTGTATATTTCAGGCAATAAACTATGGACTAAAACATCTTGATCTAAGCTGGAACTGCATACGTGGGAAAGGAGGAGTAGCGATTGCTCAAGCTATGAAGGTATAATATATTAAAGTTCTGGATGATGAAAACATCAGGAGCTCCTTTGCGTTAAATGATGAGCTATTGCATTTGCACTCTATAAAACTATATGCAATGGTTTGGGGCTAATCCTTCCTTGCACAACGGCTCAATTGATTTGCGATCGCCATTCGTGAATCGGCGGTCGTTTACTGAAGCGGTCGCTTGGCTAGCGCGTTGCATGCAGTGGCCGTTACCGCTGAGTTACAGTATTATGCCTGCTGCAGTAATATGGTTTGCAGGTAATGGTAGGTGTAATACTCGAGAGGTTCAGATTTTGACTTCTAGTGCCATTAACGAGGACTTTAAAAAAAAATTTCCCAACCTCAAATATCAATTAAAAAATAAATACCCAACCCTGGCCAAACTTAACAAAAGGTTGCTGTTGACATCGCTTTTTACCCTTCAATATTTGAGTGAGTCATGGTTTGGAAATGACAATAAGTTTTTATTACCCAACTTTTGAGTTGTTTTGTTGTTCATTTACCCAACCTTTTACTCGCCCAAAACTTTGTTTACCCAACCTTTTCTCTTCGGTGACACCCCAATAAAGAGTGACCGCTCCCTAACCGCTAAGATAGGTAGTATGGTGTCGCCATTGTAAACCTTTCACTCGGCCACGTTCGAGCTCCGTTCTTCGCAATTGAGCACTCGGCAAGATGGCGACAGCGTTCTTGTTTGAAATCCCAAATCTGAAATTGCAGTGGACCGCTCAAACAAGTGACGTTTTTGATAACATGTGCGCCAACCAAAGTCAATCGAGCCGTCATAGATGGCGAGTGATCGCGACAGCCGTTCTTGTTTGAAATCACGAACGTGAAGCTTTATTGTAATTAGCCATTCCGAAGTTGATGAGTGGACTGGGCACGAGTGTTAAAAATTGCCCAAATTAAGAAACGAACCAAATCACTAAAAAGCCCACCTCAAAATTAGTAAGTATACAAAGTTTAAAGACCTTTACATGAATACCCTTCGAATAATAAGCATTCAAAAATTGTGAACTTACTGATGAAAAGACATCCTCGTCCCCAGGACCAAGCTCGGGCGGCTCTCACAGTGGATGATTAAAAGACGTTTTAGCACGATCGTCCCCAAAAACAAAAATTACCGTACATTTCATGGTAAATATCGAGATTTTCGAAAGCTTATTATTCGAAGGGTATTCATGTAAAAGTTTTCCAACTTCGTATACTTACTAAAAAGGCTCTTTGCACACGTTTGAATCCCTACCAGTCACTATAGTGTTCAGGTTGTTCGTGAAACGTATATGCTGCTAGCAGTATTAGTTTTATTTTTAGATCAACGATTCACTGACAACGCTTAACTTATCTTGGAACGGCGTGTCTCTTCTTGGTTGTGTCGCACTGGGTAAATTTCTTCGACGAAATGAAAATTTAAAGGAATTGGATCTCAGGTATACTAGAAACTGCATTGTACAATAACGACAGTGAAACACGCAATATGATTGGTCATTCCCCGTCAGGATCGGACAATCCTGCACGGAAAATTTAAATGTGTTCGCACGGACGTTTTTAATTAAATGTCGGACAATGAAAACATTTTAATTTAAAATGGTTATGTTATAAGAATTACCAAATGGTTTTCCATGCAGGACTTTCAGGACTCACCTGCGTCTTGTGCTTTCCAAAAGTCTCGCAGCATCCCGCTATCCTGCATGGAAAACCATTTGGCATTCCTTTATTCTCAATTGCGTGTTTGTGCAATAGATTTCAATATTAACCGTTTCTTGCAGCGTACTTGTCTCATGAAATGGCTTTATTGAAATTTGAAAATTTTGTTGTTTCGAATGCTAACTCTATATTCTTCAATTTTCACAGAAATAATCGAATTGGATATCTTGGTGCTCAACGACTTTGCCCTGGAATTGCCAAAAATGTTTCTCTTGAAACTCTCAATGTAGGTTTGTACTTTGTAGTCTTCAATATTTGAGTCAGTCATGCTTAGGAAATGACAATATATTTTTATTATCCAAGTTGTTTTGTTTTTTATTTACCCAACCTTTTATAATCTATTAAATTATTGAATACATTTTTGAAGATCCAGTCCCAACACTGATCATCTTGGTTAAGGAAGCCAGCTACAAGACATATTGAGTTTTAACTTCGTGTTTAATTGGAAATCTGGGCTGCTAACTGTAGCGACACTGGAAGGGGAGGTGGCAAGGTAGCAAACACCCCTCTCACTAATTTCTAATAAGCCTTTGAATAATAGCTGTGTGAATAGCTGTTTAACATTGACAAAAGTAAAACTGTAACATTATTTTTTAACCATGTAGCATTGGTTGGATAAAAACAATTAAGCTTTACTTTGCATGAAATTCAAGGGGGAAGTTTAAAGAGTACAGGTTTCCAGCAACAAAAAGTGGTCATGTGATGGTTAAAAGTGATTTTTTTACACAGATTGGTCTCAATCCTCTTGGTGATGATGGTGTTGCAGCTCTGCTGAAAGCCGTCAAAATTAATAAAAGTTTGAAAGTTCTTAGTTTGGAGGTATGGAATGAAATTGCAAATGTTTCTAAGTATTGTGGTATTTGAATACACCTTCAATTTTCTATAATTACGTTACAAACCTACAGTATCCTTGTCGTGGGAGTCTTACTCTCGTGAATTGTGTGCGAATTGCCTTCCGTCTCGATTCATTATATCGAGGGTTCATGGTTTCATGCCAGTGACGTAACCGTGACGTAATTATCGCATGTTTAATAATTATGCATGAATTGAATTTGATATTACAACGCAAGTGATTTACAACTTGAAGCCCAGTCCCAGTCTTTCAACCAAGCACAATGCTCGACAATCTATTTTAACTAGAAATACATGCATGCAGAAACTTTTGTTAGCAAAACCACTATATTATCCAAACATGAGGTATTTTAAGTGGTAACGTACACGATTATTTTATTCTTTATATTTTTAAAATTGAAAGATAATAATTATAAGCTCCAATTACATGTGAAATTCAACCACATCGTTTTAAAATGGTCATGGAACTGAACTGCCTTTTATCGATAAACTTTGAGTTTGAAATGAAATGATTTCAAATTATGCAATTCTCTCATTGATTGATCTCATTGGGTGATTTAGACTTCGCTAATGGTTTCCTTTTTCTGGAAGTGAACAGCCGAGCGGAACCCTCGCCCCGGGCTCACCATTTTTGAGCTTTAACCACAAGTTTACCTCAGTTGGTTAGAGCGCTGCACTGGAATCGCCGGGCAGCAGGTTTGATTCCTGCCAGTGTTCAATTTTCACAACTGCTTCTGGTTAGGTGAAGAATTGTGGAATCTTCCGCTCGAAATCTACAAATCCTTACTTCAACTATTAGTTCTATCCAGCGAGATGCCCAAAAAATCTCGATATTTACCTATAACGCATTAATAACTTTATTGTTTTTCCCATTAGAATGTTACTGTGTCATCAAACGCATTTCGTGAAATCGAACAGTTGGAAAAAACCCGTGAAATTAAAATTGTCACTGGAGGTTTGGGAAGCTTCAAGAAACCAAAGGTATCAAGTTTCTACGCGCAAATTTTATACGCCATGTTTTATTAATGTTGAGATACTTGTACGTGTTTAACAGAAGCCGGTTTAATGAATTATTAATAATATCACGAATTTTAAACAGGTTGGTCTGCTGTCGTGACATTGTGCATCTTATCAGTAAATTGAGTTTCTGATGGAAATTACTTGCAACTTTTAAGTAAAAAATAAGGTTGACGAGTATAAAGTCCGGAATTGACATTTACGGAGTCCAATTCTGAATAAAAATTATACCAAAAGAAATATTACCCGACCGTTACCGTTTGTGATTTTTTCACGAAAATACGACACGACGTTTACCGATTTATTTGTAGTAAAGCTTTTGCTTTGCATGGCTGGAAAACCACCATCGACCTGGAATATCCCATCATGATCATCCAAGCTTACCTATACATATTTCTTTTCAAGGAAATGCCACAACAGATGGCGATACTGTTGGACTTTATCAAAGTTAACCGACTACGATTGGTTGACTGGTTTTTCCAGTTTGATAAAGATCACAGTGGTGACATCAGCAGAGAGGAATTTAAAACTGGGTTAAAGGAAACTGGATTAAAGATGACTCAGGTAGGACATTTGCATAATATTTCAGTAGTTGTATGGTGCGCGAATCTATCGCATCTAGAGAATATAGCCGTGGTGATGATATATGGCTTGGTTGAATATTCGTAACTCCTTATCATCGTAAACTCAAGTCCGGATCAAACGTGGATAAGAGTGCACGAGTGTTGGCAGTCAAGTGACCTTGGCCAGCTGTTCTTAATGATTTTCCTACACTATCTTGTTATTTTCTTGCCGATCATTGATCGGTGATGATGTTGGGTTGGTGTATCCAGCCCTGCTACGTCGTTCATGTTTACAGCAATTGTATACTCCATACCATGCGAACAGATCGAGCAATTGACACAACATCTGTCACTACACTACGTTTCGATAACTCTATAACAACAAACATCTTCTTTGCCTGGAAGCCTCATTCTCTAATATGGTGAGCCAATTGCCTTTCGTCTTGACTCGTAAGAGCAAGGCTCCCAGGCATTAAGTACTCATGACGTACTTATCGATAAGGAACACCTCGGCAAAACGTTTGTCGGCGTATTGCCCGCTTGCACTCGAAAGACTGGGAATGGTAGTGTCTTCACGAAGCTCTAGAAAAAGTGTAAAGAAAATTACGTGAGTGTAAACTTAGTGACAGAAGAAGACAATGGTGAAATTCTCCACCTTATAGCGTCAGTCGTGTCCTTATAGCAAACGTTTTTCTTTTCATGTATTTACTTCAATTATCATATTGGTATATTGGCAGACATTTTCCCGCCATTTTCAATTACTTGCGCATGCGCTTGACGTTTGACCGCGGTGTTTAGGAAAGGCGTGATGGTGTTTGTCACACCATGCGACGAGGCCTAAAATGTTCGCCATTCTTGGGTGGCAATACATTTGAATTAGCTAGTGATTTACTTAAAATTAAGTACAGTATAGTTTGCAGCGAGACCTACTGTACGGTCAACCTGATCGAGTCGAAGGCTCTCTAAGGGCACCTCTGGCAGCCACTGTGTGACTTGTCTGATCACGAAGTACAGCTACGGTGGAAAGGTCAGTAAGGGGCTCGTCTCAACCCACCCTGTCCACGTTCCCTGTGGGAGGAAACCGCAGTACCCGGAGGAAGCTCGCTCGATAGAGCGTTTACTAAGGGGCCGATTACATGGAGAGTTTTCAGCCCGGTAAACCGAGCTAAAATAGCATCACGATTACATGGGTGGTTTGAACCCGCGCTGAGTTTTAGTCAGAGCTATATTTATCCCTTGTAGTAAACAAACCCGGGCTGAAATGTCATCCCGGGCTGAAATCATACAATATCACGAAAGGCAATATTCCGCTTGTTTGAGCATTTAAAACGCCGATTAGTGGACTATTTGACTTGTGTAAGACTGTGGTTGCATATAAAGTATGAAAGATGAGACGAAACGCAAAATAAAGCCATTTAAACGTTTTTTTAGCCTGGGCTGAAATTATATGCGATTGCATGGGATATTTCATCCCGGTTGACAGGGCTGAAAATCTCATCACGGGTGACATAAACCGGGATGAAAATTTCAACCCGGGCTGAAATTAAGCCCGGAAATTTTTTCCATGTAATCGTAAAATTCATTTTATATTGAATTTATAGGGACCCGGGGCTGAAATTTCATCTCGGTTTGCCGGGCTGAAATTTCATCCCGGGCTGAAAACCTCCATGTAATCGGCCCCTAATTCTTTTCACGTGAACATCTTGTGTCCAGAACGAGAAACGAACACACGATCTCACGGGTGAAAGAAAGGCGCTTGCTCTTTGCCCGATCTGCATGACAGTCATTAATATAAGCGCTTTCTTGATGAACTATACTTAAACGTTATACTTGTCATATTCAGCTATTCGCGATGTTTTGTAACCATTGTATATGACTGTTATGTGCTTTATATTGTTATCTTAGTAACAGCAATTGAACCGATTGTTTTTATATAGAAACAGTTGGACACTTTAATCGAGTATTTGGACGTTGACAACAACGGGAAAATAGAGTACAGGTCAGTTTATTATGATATTCTACTTTAAAATAGAATTTAACGAAATCTTTAATATCAGTACTGCATGTACTTGTCGCATGAGCACTTTTAACTTCTCGTCCAAGTGCTATTATTTTCCAATTCACGCAGTTTAGCGGCCACCTCTCCTTCGTGTAACCATGCCCTCAGACCTTTTCACAGTTATTCCTGTTAGGTCTAATAAAATTGTTTATAAATTTCCACATAATAATTTACATCAACAACTATTGAATCGAGTGAGATGCCAACATATTGATATTTTCAAATTATAAGAACCTACTTAACAGTCTCAGCAGCATATGTTTTCTTTCTGTTTTTCTTCTTTTTTACATTCTTTATTTTTACACATCGTAGTTTATAAACGTATGAGTTGTGCCTCCATTTTGTTTATTTTATGTACGTAGCCTGTCGAGCGGGCAGGGTGGACAACAATTAATTTCCACTTCTTGCCAGGCGGGATACAATGAATTTATCTAAAGCCATGTGACTACAAATGAGCTAATCACGTTTGGTGTTCACCGTAGCTGTATAACAATAAAATATGTAATCGATTACATAATAATTTTAATTCTTGTAGTGAGCTTCTGATTGGTCGAAACCACACATTACGAGAACAACGAGATTTAAGAATGGCTCAACAAAAGTTGCGTAATCTGGAAGACATGAGGGCTCGTTTACCCACCATAAAAGGGTTTGAACCTGATTGATGTTGCATATAATGGATAATTATTTAATATTCAAAAAGTTGGGTGAAGGATATACTAACCTGAAAATATATAGCCTGGGTTTCATGCCATTTTCCCTTCCTTAGTTGGGAGTGGAGGGAAGTGAAAGATGGCCTAACTAGGAAATTTAATATGTCATTTTGAGATGTTGGATACTAAGAGGCGGACCATCGGACAATTTTTTCTGCGGTCAGGAATTTTAATTAAGGTATATTTTGCTTTGCTTTCTTTCTTTCCCCCTCCTCCCTCACATTTGTAATGGCCCGTCCCTAAATATAAACTTTATTTTTCTAATTAAGATTTGTCAGACTTTGTTTTGTAAAGTAAGTCTGATACTCAGGCTAGAAAATATACAGAAAGTGTTTTTTGAGCTGTTATATCATTCAACAATCTTCTTGAATATTATATCCATTGTTACTATACAATTACTTTATGGTTTCCGTGTTTGGATGGCCTGATCCAAACACGCGGGAATGTTGCGAGAGTTAAGAAAAGCGCGCGAATTCATACGATTGATAATGTACGATAAGATTTCTTTACAATAATTTATTTGGGTGAATTTGTTTTGGTCGCCGTCGTCGCTTTGCCGTCCTACATCTTAAGGTCTCTAATATATATGGTGATGAAAACATAAACTGGAAGAGGTTAAAAAACAGTGTTGGCAAATGTCCGGCAGCAGCACCGCTGCCAGAAAACTTTTAAATGTAGGTAAATGCATGGCTTCATTTCCCAGTTGTTACCCAGATATATATCGAATAATTGATATTTAAGATGGTAAGGCCCACAGGTGGACCACGGAACCATTGGTTCCAGAAACGATTTTAGTTGCCATAAAATATTCCCCAAGAAAGGAAAAAAGATAATTGTAACATTTGGAAAAAAATAAAAGGAAAAATTCTAATCAATAGAAATAATTTTACCTGTGTTGTATTGTAGGTGTAATCTCAGGAATGCAAAGGTATAAGTGCATCCATCTTAATAGTGCCATGAAGGGCGTATCCAGCCCCTGAATGAGTGGTCTCATCGAGGGTCTAATTCTTCGGCCTACCTGAAGCATGGACCCCGGAAAATATTTCTATGTTTAGGGTCTGGGAAATCCTACTTCATGCATTTTAGACACGTGTTGTGGTAATCTGCAAGCCACAAATGTGGGATATTTTATGTCATATTTTATGTCATTTTTTGTTACAAGCTGCCAACACGCATTCCCTTAGGGTATGTACATTAGTGAGGAAAGCAAATTCTGTTGGAAACTCTAGTTTTGGCAAATTTATAGCGGAGAATTGGACATTGTGTCTATGAAAGTACTATGTTGTTGGGTCAAAGTTCACGGGTTCGAATCCCACCGTGGTCTGGCAAACTTTTCAGCTTGCCTGGTGTGGATGCACACTCAGAGTAACACTTCAAACATCATCTTAGAATATATTGATATCGAATGAACTAGACTCAGTTCCGAAATATCACCAACCAGAACCGACTTGACCTCGTAGCTCAGTTGGTAGAAAATTACCCTGGTTCCAGAGGTTTATTTTTAGTATTTTCATTGCGAAGGGGAGAGGTAAAA